GGTTGAGATGACACTTACCATATTTCGTCTTGCCCAGATCAAAGATACAACGACGCGAGATCTTCAAATTAAAATATTCCCACTCATATCAAAGATACAACAGTGTGGGTGCTTCAAATTAAACATTCTTGCCCGAATCAAAGATACAACGGCGTAGGCCTTCAAATTTCAAAATACGACGGCGTAGGTCTTCAAGTCAACAGGTACCTATTATACGCACACACAAAGTTGCCTCTGTTGAATTCCCATACTCGCGAAGAACAATAGAAGGACGTGCAGGGCTTGGGATCAGAGGCAAAATGAACTTGTGCACTAGCTGGGGTTGATCTGGTGCAAGAAGATTGGGGCTGAGTGGTAGGTCTGGACGCAGGGTTAATCATGGCATCATGCTGATCGGGTCGGGTCGCACGTGGGCTGTAATGGCTCGACGCATGTGCAAGACAGGCATAGGATTGGGTCGGAGGTGGGATGGACCGGATAAGGGAGATCGCATGCGTAGATGAAATCACGGAACTGGACCCGGCTGAACAGACGAAGGCATGATTGGGATTGGAGACGCTGAAGCATGCATGGGCACAGGCCTCGGGTTAGAGCTGGGCTCGACCGGGGTTACTTCGTGTGGATTCATACAAATGAGAGGGAGAGGGGCGTGTGATGCCTATTCCTATGTTCGAGAGAAGTTGGGAGGGAGAGTCAAGCAGGAGAGCCAGTCGGTTTCGACTCTTAAATTGTTATTATGTTAATATTTTTAGGATACAATTTTACTTAAATTAAATAGTGATTGGCCTTACTGTACTGGTTGTCTGGCTGTTACATTAGAGCACTAAAGAAAACTTATAATTTTTTTTCTAGATTTGAAATTAAATATTTTATATTTACATTTAATTTCACAGTTTCTATAATAATCTGGAAAAATAATATATATTGTATAGAATATGAGAAGGAAATAATGGTTTTACGATTTTCTAAATTAACCGGGAGATAGAATTCCGGTAGAAACCGGAAAATAATTATCTAGTTTCTAAATAAACCGTGTAAACTTTTCACGGTTTCAATAATTGTGGATTGAGTTTTCTGTTTCTTCAAGCCTGTGAACAGGGGCTGAACCAGCCATAATTTCAAGGGAGGCAAATGTATAAGTGACTGTTAGCATATATGTTGGGGGTCCAAGGGGGCAGCGCTCCCCTTGTAATAAAGACTAAAAAATGAATTGAATGGGGACAAATTACCTAAATAATAGTATAATGGAAGAAAAAAAAAATTTAGGGGGGGCAATAGACCCACCGGGCTCAAAGGGGTTCCGCCCCTGCCCGTGAAATTGAATTACGGTTCTGCTCCTTTTTAATTAGCCTTTGACTCAACTCCTATAGCTAATTTTAATTGGTAAAATGCTATTTTCAAAAATTTGGCCCCATTACTCGAGGCTATCTGATGTTCTTTAAGAACATGAAATTCGAGTGAAGTATGATTATGCATTATGATGAAACTGCAGTGTTGATCCTTCTATTGCTACTTTAAGATGAGCATGAGATGTTACTTGTTAGACCACGCTGTATTTTCATGTGTCGAAAATGTCATTCACCTTTTAATGAGCCATAGCTAATGAACCATCATTTTTATTTGGGGGTATTACTACTGCCACTCTCTAGAGCAGATTGTTTTGCAACTTAGGAGAATATGGTGCATGATATTTATTTTTGACATATTATAGGTAGCTTATTGGGCTTTATGTTAGGGAAATAATCACTGGAATTGTATTTTATTCTTGATTAAAAAAATGTCAAGATTATTCTAGCTTGTCATTCAATTTGTTATTTATTTTATTTTAACATTTAGTTAGTAGTTTATTAGCAATTTATAGCTATTATTAGTAGTTTATGATTATTGTAATCTATGTTGCACCGATACGGATACGGTGACACGGATACGACACGATACGGATACGGGACACGTCAATTCTTAAAATTCAGGATACGGGTACGGCGTGGACACGACATCATAATTTATAAATCATACATAAAAATTTAGAAAGCAATCAAAGCATAATATTTGAAATTACAAAAAAAAAAATGACAACAACATCATTTGTAGCCTTGTAGCTTATAATATCAAAATATAAGTAAGCATTAAATGTCTAGTACAACAACAAAAGCATAAACATAAATTATCTAGCACATAAAGTTTCAACTATTCAATAGAAGGAATGATATGATTAGCTTCTTCAGTGGTTTGTCTTTGAACTTCTATATCATCTTCATTAAATATCATAGCTTTTAATTCAGGCTCATCAAGTGAAAGAGTAGTAATTTCTAATATTCTCGTATCATCAAGAGACTCAAATCCATCTCGGAAATGAGAGAACTTTGCTCGCAGCTGCGGAAGTAAATACGACGCATCTTTTTTTTTTCGGATTTCTTTTTGTTTTTCAACGAACACGTGTATCGGATATGCGTGTCCTTTTGAAATTAAATAGTATTTTAATTGGATACGTCTTTGGCGTATCCGACATGTATCGGTCGAGTATCGGAGGCGTATCCGTGTATCGGATACAGCACGTCTTCATAAATAGGTGTATCGGTGCAACATAGATTGTAATCTATAAATAAGAGAATTCTGAAGCATTTAACTTCTATTTTATGTGTAAAATTCTTACTATGAATCTGAATATCCTTCTTGATCTATTAGGATTTCAATAGTAGATCCGATGTGAGACTTGAATTAGATAAAAAAATCTCCTTGTCCATGTGTGAATTTTAATTTTTTATTATTTTCTATTTAGTTTTAGCCATTTTTTTATCTTTTCTATTTTCTTCCCCAATATATAGTTTTTTTTTTGGGAGTTTTGGGTCTACCGTTCCTCCTAATCTTTGATCTAATGGAGGGGGCTGCAAGTTCAAAAGTTGGATACTTTATTACGAAAGAGATGTACATCTGATTGGATGATAACCCCCTAACAGTAACGCGTTGGATAGGGATGGGTGGTGGTTCATATCTTCTCATCGTGACTGAATAACTTAGTAAGCAAGGAAAATACTTAACCGCCAACATATTCAGGTGAATAATTCTCCACTGCTTCTGCTAGTGATCAACGATATTTCAATTCTGAAATGGAAAAAGAGAAGTTCATAAACTAACAGTTTGCAGAATTTCACCTAATTTATTCTTTGATTTTTCCTCGTAATAAAAATTTTACCACCTTAAAGAATTTTTTGTTTTTGTTTGTGCATTTCTGAAAGATGGAACTCTTATTTACACGAATAAATCAAGTGTGACATGAGATTTTTTTGCAGTAGGGGTGAACCTCATAAAGTTACATGTGGTGGTTTGAAAAAACGAGTATGACTTGTTGACAGGGCGATTTACAACAACTTTTATGTCATTTGTTTTTAGTTAAACTTATAAATCCTTCATTGAATTCTATATATGTTGTTTCACGTGTTAACTCCAGTTTTTGCTAAAGTTATATCTATATACTTTAAATTTCTACCTATTTTATGTTTGGTTTAATCATTTTCCATCATATTCTGCCACATTAATTTCAGCTACCAAACTTATTAATGCATCTTTTATCTACCATTCATTGTACAAAAGTCAATTTCTTTTTGAGCTTTTCCTTCAAATATTATTTTTTCTTGCTCTACTAAATTCCTAATTTTATCGCACGTTTATTTCATAATTTTTTTTTTGGGAATAGTTTATTTCATAAATTATGTTCAACTTTATGTAACTTGTCGCTTGGCTGCATTGGAATTTATGCAACATAAGTAGAACCATTTATAAGGATTTTTGTGTAGTTTTTTTTTTTTTTTAAATTATTGAAGCTTTATTTTCATTGTAATTGTTTGTAGTTTTACTCGTTATAATAGGCATTAGTAGAACCATTTATAATAGGCATTAGTAGAACCATTTAAGGATCCTTAAATCCCAAGAAAACAAGATTCCTGAATTCCTGTGCAAGTATTCTGAGGGGAATTTATTCTATTGCTTTCTGGCTCCACTCCCAGTCAAATCCAAGAATTCAGGAGATTGCATAGAAACCAAAAGGTATTAAGAGTTTTCATGGAAGACTTCGATTTATGAAGGTACCACCATTAATAGAAGCCTTGTAGGGCACACAATTCTGAAACTTATTGCAGGGTTGATTGCTATCTGTTTCTGGCATTTCTGTCTGGATTTTTATGAATATTAGCTGAAAATCATATCATAGTAAATTCAAAAAGAATATTTCGTTACCTCCTCACACAACTTGGCTTGTTGCTACCCTCCTTTATTTTGCATTATATAATTAAAACTACTTAAAGCTATCCTATGATATGGGATCAAAGAGCGATTGTGAATTGAGGTGGGCTGCGAATTTCGGATGCCAAAATGGGTATTTACAGAAGTTAATAACATAATTTTGTAAAATTATAAATTTTTATATTATATTAATTATCATCTTATTAAACTTTATATTTATATTTATAAATTTATATTATAAATTTTTTTAATTTTAAATCTATTTAATGCTCATATATCTATATTTATAATATGCATATACTAATATTCATACTAATAGTTGAGTCATATTTTTAACAATCTTTATGTTAAACCTTCATTGATGTAGTTATGTATTCAATTTTAATAATTTAATTTTCATGTAATTTATATTATAATGAAATAATTTTAATATTTATTGTATTATTTGGTTCAACTTCAATTGAGCCATTGAACTGTAAATTCCTTCTTTTAGTTTTATGTTTGGTCAAGCTTTTTGAATTTTGCTCATCTCAAATTAAATTTAATGATTTTGAAATTCTTCATGATCAAAATGAGGATATTCTGCATAAAGTTTTAGATTTTTTTCTCATTTCATGAGAAATTTCATTTGAATCTTTTTAGCAAGATATTTATTCAGGTTAAAGAAGATTGGTGTAATGTACAAGACACATTTGTACACATTGATGTGCAGCCCAGTGCATTTATTGCCTATAAACATTCTTTTTTATTTATTTTTGCAGTTACTTCGGATGTCAACTTCTTGCAATTAAATACGAAGGGGACATTTCTTCAATGGGTATGCCTCTTATCAGCCCTCCTTTAGTCAATTTAGTATTGAATGCTAATATCTTAATCAACAATGTGGATCACTCAAATCAAATAAATTTAATAAACTCTTTTTCTAGCTGGAGAAAGGTATTTCCTGTGACTTCTGATCTTTTCGTTCATTCATTTCTATGCCGATAAGCATGGCTATTGCAATTGCCATTCTTACATTTGTATGGTTAGGCCAACTTCAATACTGATTTGTTTCATTCTTTTTATAATATTGGGATGTTTTGTGATTTATGAGATAAATTTGCAATTTTTCAAGTAGAGTGTGCTATTCTGTAAATATGTTCCTCATGATTTTGAAGATTTTTTTTTTCTTAAATTAAAGTATGGTATAATATCTGTTACAAATATATAAACTTTGTTCAGATGGCTTAAACCCCTAAACTCTCACCACTAGAAATATTATATATATATATATATATATATATATATAATTCCCCAAATGGTTTGGTATTTTTTAAGAAAACGCCAAAACATTTGATGTATTTACTCTTTTTTTTTGTCCTAAATTTTACAACAAAATATTAATTGTTGTGCAATCCTGCATCTTTTTTTATTTACTCGGCTACTACCTGTTCATTTGCAGTTGGGATGGTACTTGGTTGGAAGAGTTTTCTTTTTTTTTTCTTTTCTAATGAGTCTTATACTGTACTGAGCCACTGAGCTCGTTTCATTTTATTTTGTTTATTTTTTTGTCTCAAATATGTTTAGAAATTTTTACTTACATTTTATCCTACCTATTTTTTATCTTATAGCCAGTTGATGTTAGCTTTTGCATTCACCATTCAGCATTTTTTTTTGCTTGATGTCACATTTCTAAATAATTTTATATGAAAAGATATATTCATATAGCCGATCTCAATTAGTGGGATAAAGACTTAACATTGTTGTTATTATTTTGAATTGCAGAAGTTTATTTAAGGATGATATGTTCTTAATGTAGCTCATTAGTCGAATTTATTTGATAAAATGTTTGTTCGACCCACCGAGCTTAATTGGGTTGGTGGGCGAGCATGTTTAGGAACCCTCTAATCCATGTTCGATTCCCCTCTCATTTGACGCGACCCCTTAAATGAGGAGAAAATAATTGTGAGTCCTACACCTGTGGAGCTGGTTACTGGTAAGCTTGCCGAGGGATTAGTTACGCCGTCAAGCGCCTCCTATGAGGGTGACAGCGGGTAAATACCCCCATTCCTAAAATAAAAATATTGTTTGAGTTTTAAATCTATTTTTATAGCCAATTTTTTTTGGGGGCGGGTTAGTACGAGCAATGTGAAGGATTTTTCGTCCATCAACCAATAAGTCACATTGCTTGATCTCTTTTATAGCCACTTTCACACCCTATTTTTGAAGAATGATGTATTCATGCAAGAGCTTGCAGCCATGAACATGATAAAGAGAGAAATCCATGCTGAGATGGTGAGATTGTGAAGAAAATCTTTATATGGGAGAACGGAGAGAGAGAGAGAGAGAAAAAAAAGACTACAAACAACTGATACAGAGGTTGGTTCTTTTTAAAGCTGGAAAAAGGAAAAGCGATGTTTGTTGAAAGTACGGTAAGAGATCTTTGACTGCTTCTCTCCATATTTCGAGATTAGATGATGAAATGGGATTTATATATTGGGATATGTGAGAGAAATGTCTGACCTCTTATGTGATCAGATGAGTTTTTTCATTTATGCCCATGATATGATATGTGAGCTGCATTTTATTTCATTTTGATATATTTATTTATTTATTATGCTCATCCATATATGAATCAATGCACTGTTATTTATTTTTATACATTATGAGATTAGCTGCTTTTTATTTTAATTTTGAGAAATTATGGTTTGTTTTTATGGCAATAAGACTCTTTATTAATGATATTATTGTATTGTTGATTGATGGTTGGTTGTTAGGTTTATGTGTTGAGAAATGAATGATGATGGATGACGAACTCGAGGTGCAAAGATTACCATACCTATGGTAGATGATTGATTACTATATCAATGAGTTATACTAACATCAAAACATGGCCTTAAGCATAAGGAAAAATGATGCTCAATTTTATAAAGGTATGATTCATCTATGTAGATGAACTTCACTATTATGAAATCTAGGCCTTATTACTTTTGAAATAGCACAACTAAAAAAGTGAAATTTATGGGGTTGTGATACAATCCAAAAATATAAGCAAAACTTTTGTGATTATGACCCAACCTAATAAGGTTATAACTGATTCTAAGGATGGTAGAGTTCATGTTTTCTTCATTCATAAAATATGCAAAAATGTAGCTGGATAAATTGGATAAACTTTGTGGCATAGCTAAGCATTATAATATCTATATAAAAAAATGCTCATATATGGGACTTACAACCTTGCCCAATAAATGAGGATGGAATTAATTATAATTTTGATTATGATTGAGGATAGGAATTACATCTTAATAGTAGAGAGGCCTATGGAAATTATAACCTAAATGTATATGTAGTAAGAGGTGTAAACGAGTTGAGTTGAGGTTTAATCAACCTTGGTTTGAGCTTCAGCTTGATTAATTAATCGAGTTCGAGCTCGAGCTCCATTATAGGAGTTTGAATTAGCTCAAAGGCTGGCTCTTTTACTATGAAAGATAGAAAGTGATTTGATTGAAGCATTAATTGTAATAAAATGACTTTAAAAAAAATTATATAACAAATAATGAATAACCACCTGATATTTAAATGTAATATATATTTTTAAAATTTGTTAATATATTTGTACTTATATTGTTGAATTCTAATATATTTAAAGTATATTTTATATTAACGGGCTAGCTCAGCAGTAATGAGTTGAGTTAAAGTTAGCTCAAATTTGACTTGTTAGTTTATTGAATTAAACTTATGAGTCTTTTATCTAGTCAAGCTCGAGCCAACTTGACTCAACTAAACCCCTATAGGTTACTATAGGCATACATAATATTAGCCCCGTATTTGAGAAGCTTATAAGTGAGATTTACAATATTGGATTGAGAATGATGAATCATTGGTCTTTTAACCTAATCCTACATGTAAGGTGGTTTGCGTTTGTTCATGTTTTGAATTAGGTTATTTAATAGGTGTTGCGTGTGACGCTAGGGCTTACAACTCTATTGGTCAAGATGCCTAAGAATAAGACCTCCAATCACTGGATTATAGGGCGCTTCATTCATAGGTCTTATAACCTAATCCTACAGACAAGACTACCAAATTTAAATTATATATATAAATCAACATATGAATTAGCAATTATGTATACATTTCAATTAAAAAAAAGATAAGATAGCAATGGTTAATTATAAATCATCTAAAATCTCATTAATGTTCTCTATGATCCATTGAAATGATATTAGTTTGAGCATTTAATTTCCACTGAGAAATCAATAACTGTTGGTAAGAACCAAATGATTGGATTTTAGTGATGGGATCATGAGAAGCATCAAATATGGCTGTATTGGATTTGGTTAGAACTGACTGAAATGTAAAAAGGTAATATTTGAAGTGGTCCTCATAAGAGAAAATAAAGTAAATTTATTAATGAGTGGTGCAGAAGAGCTCAAATCTCCAAAGAATTGACCTCTGGTAATATCACTAGCTGTCTCTCAGCTCTTCACTACTATTTTTGTACAGTAAATTTTTCTAAAGACCTAAATTAGTTAAAAAAAAAAAATTGAGAGTAAATTCACGATGAAGTAATGCATTTTTCAATAAATTCACATATTACATGAATTATTTTGTAAAATGTAACTATAAATTATTCTAAGATGTTTTTTTTATTTATTGTGTAATTTATAATTTTTAATAATGGAAATATGATTATAAAAATTATTTCTTATCACAAATTTTTAAAAGCAAAAAGTATATAATAAAGTAAAAATATTATGATTTTCTTAAAACAAAATATGAAGAAAAAAAACTACATCAAATGACTCCAAAGCCTTCCATCTTAGCCCTTGAATGCAGAGCTTATGATACACTGCGATAAACAAACTGAGAGAATTAGAACATAATTAATTAGGATTAAGTGCACTAATGGTGTTGATCCATTCACTAGTAGTCAGATGCCATTGATAATTCAATTCAGTGTTTTTTTTTTTCCTTCTTCTTCCTTTTTTTTATTATTATAGTATTGATTTGATGGTGATGCATGTCACATAGGGGTGTCAATATTTTACACGACCCGAAAATCTGTCATAAACCCAACAAGAAAATTCCAGGTTATGGTCAAACCAGACTTGAAACGATTCAGGTTCGGGTTCAACAAATTGATTTGTTTCAAAAATTGAGTCGGGTTTGGGTTGACTCAAAAATTTACCCATTTTCTACCTAAAATCCAAGATTGATCTGTTTTTTATCTGAAAATCGGAGATTGACCCATTTTTTACCTAAAAACTAGTAATTTTTGCCCAGCCCCAGGTCATTCGGGTCATGTCGGGTTAATCCAAACCCGAAGCAGGTCGAGTTCGGGTCCGAAAAATCGACTCGTTTTTAAAAACATGTCGGGTTCGGGTTGACCCGAATAGAGCTTGGTCAGTTCTGGCTTCGACTCGAACCCGACCCATGACCTGAAATTAACACCCCTAATGTGACAGGTCTCAAGTCCTGTATGAAGAAAGTAAAGGCTTATGTTAGTAAGTCGACAGTTGGTGTAAAATTTGTCGAATAATTATGACATGTTATTATAGTGATTTGTTAGTGATGCAACTGACACTGTTTGTCAAACCCTAACCCTAAAATCAGCTTAAAAAAAGGTAATGAAAGCATATTCCAAAAAAAAAATAAAAATTAAAGCATATTCCAAAGTCTGCGTATAGCATCAAAGAGCTATTATGTGTGGGAATCAAATTAGTTTCATGAACTGTTGAGAAGATCTTAGTCAAATTCCATTGATTGTGGAAGGTGGGAACCATTCAATCTTTCTAAGTTGTTTTCATGAGCCTGCATGATTGAGCAGTGTTCTTTCAGTTTGAACTATTATCACTTAACACACATGTGGAAAGATGTGGTGAGCATCAATTGGCATATTGTGAATGAATAAGATCAAATAGGGTATATCATATATAATTGTTATGCCTTATTTTATATTAGGAAAAAGACATGTTACGCGGGTTTAGAATTTTTTTTTTGTTGAAGTTATCGTAAACTTAGGCTTTATTTAGTACGGCTTTCTTACTGCTTCTTAAAGCAACTTTTTAATAATTTGTGTAATAGAGAATTACTTTAAGAAGCAATAAGAAATTCATCCCAGTAAGAAAGTCGTCTCAAGCGAAACCTTAGTAAACTTATAAAAGATTTCTTACGTGTACTTGTGAGTTAATCTTATCTTCTATTTTCTTGTCTTTTTCACTTTCAGTGACCGAATCATGTTCCGTCTACTTTCAGCAATTAACAGATACCTGCCACCATTAAACAGTGCAGAGCGATCAACTGAATCATTAATATGCAATCATCATAACCTTGTTGAACTCAATTCCATTGTGTTCCAATGGATCTTCCACCAAGATGTAGAAAGTGGTCCTTAAGATGGAGAGGTATTGGTGAGAGGGGTCTCATTCACCCAACCCACAGTAGTGCATGTAAGGGTGTGGGGCCCTAAGGATTTCCCATCCCTTTGGGCTTTGGCATATGAACCTAATTGAGTTATCAGTTGTGGGACCCTCCATAGGACACCTGCACCATATTCTGCTTAGATTGAGTTTTGTGGTGAACAAATTAGTGGGTGGGTGATGGAACAATAGGTCTTGATTTGAAATTTGGTCTCCAATGTTGGATGTGTTGGTGAATGCTTTTAATTAAGGGGGAAAAATAATTTTTTTTTTTTTTTGTGATTAAGATATTTGTATTTTTATAATAGTTTAGGGTTTAATTAATAAAGTTATGTATTTTTTATGTTCATCATATTAGATTTATGAATTCTTTAAAAGAATTTATGATTTTTAAAGTTTCTTCCTCAAAAATATAATATACACATTTAATGGTTTATATATAATTTGGTATTTTAAGAGTTTGGTAGTCAGTTAAATTTATATGAAAAAATGAATGAGTTATAATGATATCAATCAAATTTTATGACTTTTGTCAAAAAGAAATTTAAAAAAATATCATAATATTTTGATAAATAAATAGTCATTTTAAAATTTTAAATTTATTTTATTATAAGTATAATATTAATTATTCATATATGATGATATTCGTAGGCAAAAAAAATGCTGTACCGCGGTGTACCGAGTTTTTCAAAAAACTCGGTACACCTCGGTACCGAGTTTTTTTTGCCTACGATCGGATGGCTCTTGCATCCGGTCAATCAAACCAAATAAAAATTCTTTCAAGAGAGCGATAAAAAAAACTACTAAAATTGCAAATAGAGAAAATGATTGGACATAAAAAGAAAAAATAAACAATAAATTCAGATTCAGCCCTCTTTATAGGCTATTCTGAAATTACCTTTTTCTCCATTTTAACTATGAACCGGGTCCACCACCACTAGCTTAATATGTGGGGGCCACTCTATGATAATTTAGATAAGAATTTTGTAAAGCTGGATCTGAACTGATTATTTTTATCAAAAAGTACCATTTAGAATCTAAATTGGCTAATTAGCAAGCAGTGTTGGTGGAATATTATCCTCTTATAATTTATTTATTAATTAAATTTGATACTATCGAGGTGGAATATGATCCTAATTCTAAAATATTGTTCAGAATTATTTATTAGCTTTTATGTAAAGAATAACTCATTATATATTTAATATTGATAATTTAAATATTATTTTTTTATTATTTTATATATTTAAATTTATAGATTTATAATATTTATTTTTGGGTGAATTTTAAAAACTAATATGAAATGAATTTAATTTATGTACATTTATATATTGATTTGATATTTTTATTAAATTTTTACATCTAAAAATTTATATAAATTTTAATAATCGTTAGAGATTCATGAAAATTAATAGAATAACATAATAAATCATAAAATAAATAGTGAAACCAATATTAAATAAATATTTATTTTAATGAATAAATATTTTCACATATAATCATTTTAGAAATGAACAAACAATCACAACTTAATTTTTTAATATAATTAGCCTCAAAAATTTTATTCAAAATTATTTATCTATAGAATCAAATAAAGATAATTAAGTATTATATTAGCAAAGATCAAATTAATCCACATTTATTCTTATTGAAAGCTGCTTAACCTATAAAAATGTGTTATAGAATAAATAAAACCTATATTGAGAAGGTTTTTGCTTTATAATCCAATAGATTAGTGGTGACTTTTTGGATTAGCGTGAGTTTAGACCATGCAATTGTGGACCATACACAGTCTTCAATGTAAGAAACGGCAACTTAATTAAGCAGCTAATAGCTTTGTTAATTAAGGTTTCCATTGGAGATTATGGGGCATCGGTGGTGGTGATTATGACCACTAATATGATTTTTTTTTTCTTTCATAGAAGAAGAATTATTATTATTTAATGGTTGATGTTATGGTGTTAAAATATGAAGTCCAATCCATTCAATTTTTCTTATCAACATTAAAAACTTATTGATTGCACAATTTCAATATTTTTTAATATCATTTAATTATCAATTAAAATATATCTAATTTTATTAATGAATAACTAAATAATTATATTTGATAAGTATATATATATATATAGTGTAAACATTTAAAATGACTTTTATATGTCATTTTATTTATTGTTCATATTTCTTAAAACAATTAAATTATTACAAAAATTGACAAAATTTTAAAAATTGATATCCACATAAATCACAATCAATCATTGGATTTTAACATTAAAGACAATATAAAATAATAGTTACAAAGATTTAATTATATATATATCATGAATGAGTGATTCAATTCTATCTTCTTTTAGTCAAACCTTATATAATCCAACCAAATTGCACCTATTTGTTGATGAGAAAATTGTACAAGAATTCAACTACTTCAATAATTTTTTAGCTCCAGTGGAAGAAGAGATTAGAGAGAGTCGTCTTAGATAGTTTGGTCACATAAAATGACGGCATTTCGATGACCCGATTAGGAAAGTAGATGTATTAGATTTTACTTATGTTAAGAAAAACTTAGGTAAACTTAAAAAAACTTTGTTAGAAAATATTAGAAATAATATTTCTTTATTAGATTTAAATGAGAATTTAACTTTTAATAGGGCACAACGAAGAAAATGATCATGCAAACCGACCTCACATAGTGTGATTAGGCTTGATGTTTTTGTGTTGTTGTTCTTTTTTTTTTTTTTGGATAAATAAAGGAACTTTTATTACGTTCGGTGCAAGGACTTAGAGTAACGTCCAGTTGGAGGCAATTTTCCGTCCAAAAATTAGTTATTTGCTCGGTACAACTAGGTATTATTTGATAATAATGAAGATTACCATTCTATGAAATTCAATACCGAGTTACACCGAGCTGTACCGAGAAATACCGAGTTGTACTGAGTTTTTCCCAGAAAAACTCGGTACAACTTTGATATAATTCGGTATTTACTCGGTAAAGCCCGGTATAACTCGGTATTGGGTCTTCAAATGATGGTATTCTTCGTTATTGTTTGGTATTGCTCGGTATTTGCTCGGTACAACTCATTTTTTGGCAGGAATTTGCCTCCGACCGGACGTTCCTCTACGTCCGGTCGGAGGACGTAATAATTGTTCTAAATAAAGAGACCATTTGTCTTGAGTAAAAGGAAGCAACAATCTAGAAACAAGCAATGGAACCCTAATAATGTTGAAAAGCTAATTGAGCACAATCTAATCTGCTCTCAATAGAGATGGCAAGCCTTAGCCCATAGTGCCAAAAACCCTAATTAGTGATCAGCCCAAACTCCCATGAAAGCCATTAGAGACTCAACCAAAGCATTTCATCCCCAATTTAGGCTGCCATTGCACTGAAAGGCTACCCTTTGTAGTTAGGGCTCCCCTTATTGTGTCTATTACCCTAAAATTAAATTTACTATTTACTATTCCCCATACATAAAGTTATAAATCTCTCTCTCAGCCCAAGACATTCCCTTGCCCAGATGCCTTTAAAACATTTTTTTATACTCGCTTGCAATTTTTGTATGATTAAAATAAGCAAAAAAAGACAAATTTATGTAATAATAATAAAAATAAATCCTCAGATCTCCACTATGCAAACAGTCTTTATGTCACTGTGGGAAGAACCAGATAAGAAGCAGAGTACAGCCTTATTTGATTGTAAGTTTGGTGATATTTTATAATTTTTGTTTTCATTAGAAATTTTATGCAAAAATTGGGTATCTTGTAAGTAATTTTCATCAGAAACCAATGATGTTATAGGCATGATTTTTTTTTTTTCAGAATAATTTATTGACTGCTTTCATGATAAGATTTCGGTTGTATTAGAGACGATTTTTTTATTACTTATTAAAATAAAATTTTAACAAAAAAATTAAAAATTTGTACTAAAATTTTATTTTTAAATCAATAAAAAAGCCGTCTCAAATGAAGCCTTCATCACTATTTTAAAATTTTGCCTTTATGGTTTAAAAAAGATTTTTTATTAGAAAAATATAAGCTATTTCAAACAAAATCATTTTTATAATGTTAGTTTCGTATTTATAGATTCATTATATAAAATATGGCGTTTTGAAGATTTTGGCTTCATTTGAGACAGCTTATTTATCATTTTTTAAAGTATTTTCTTAGTAGAATCTGCTTTAAAAAACAGTAAAAAATCATTTTAAATGAAATCTTTAAGAATGGACCCTTTTTTTTTCATTGATGCATGTTAGTGAGCTATGATAGAGAGGATGCTTGAGGACGTAACGTTCAAGTTGGAAATTGAGTCCGTTTATGAAATTTTGTTAGTTTATATTATTAAAAACCTATTATAAATTTATATATTTATTGAATTTTTTAATTCAAATTTAAATATTATAAGGCTTACAGAAAATATCAAGTTTTGAGTTAAAAAAAAAATCAACAACGGATCTATCAAATAAAAATCAGTAGTTGTTAACAGTGATTTTTCATCATAATATTCTTATCGGGAATTTGTTTAGCTGTAAATTGTGAACAGAAAGTCTCAAATGAAGCTTAAAGGTTCAGTCTTGTAGCTGCTTGTGAGAGGAGGGAGATCGGGCAGCAAGGGCAGTTTAATTTTGTGTTTCTGCCCGTGAAATTCCTCTCTGTAGAGTTGGCCAGTTAAAGAAATAATATTTAGGAACTGGCTTCGAATTGGTCATAAAGACCTTGAGAGGAGCAGGAGAGAGAGAGAGAGTGAGAGAGAGGGCGAGCGAGCAAGCGTGAGAGAGAGAGAAAGACAGAGAGGAGACTAGAGAGGGCTCCATTCTTGCGCTTTATTCGCTTCAAAATAGAGTCTTTGCTGCAACTCTGAGAACGAGGTTTCGAACGGAAGCGTACCCACCCACCTTCTTCTCTCCCTATCTTCGCCTCATTCTCCTCTAATCCTGTTTTCTAGTGCCTACATTGCTTTCTACCCTTTCAAAGCTCCGACTTTTCTACTTAATCCTGCATTGTCGTTTTAATAAACCAACTTCCACTTCTTTTCTTATGAGCCTCAATTCCCTTCCTTGATTCTATAAATGTAATACTGGGAGAGTTCCAAAATCCTTTTTTTTTTACTCTATATGATGTTTATCGCTGTTTCCCTGTTCATTTCTTATGAAGAATCCATTAATTAAGTGATCAGGGGAATAGTTCAGTGGAGAAAGAGGTGGGCCTCTTTCTTCAAGGCAGTCTCTCTATTTTTAAGTTATAGTAGGTTTGGACCCATTTCTCTTTTTCTGTTATTTCCCACCAGTCAAGTAAATCCCCAATTCCTAAAGAGCTGCATAGGCCAAGGAAGGGGAAAGAGGAGGGCTTTTCTCCTCAGCTGCATGAAGGAGCTCTGCAACAATGAGAGATGAGAATTCTAAGAAAAGCAAGGTTTTTGGATTCTACTTCGTTTGGTTCTTTTTTCTTGAGTTTCTTTGAGTCGTGGGATACTGATCTATTCCTGTTCTTGGCTTCAGCTCTCATGGTCTAAGTCCCTGGTTAGGAAATGGTTCAATATCAAGAACAAAGCTCAGGACTTCCATGCTGATGATGTTGTCGAGAGAGGTATCTCTTTTTGTTCCTCTTCTTTGGTTTCGTGATTTGGTTTTTTTTTTTCTAGGGTTTGGATTCATTATGTTTTTTTTCGATTAGGATTGGGGGATCTCTTCTGTATGCTTTATTGATGTCTGATTGAACTACTTTATGGCATTTGATTGTGTTTTTTGGTAGATTGATAGATTTGTTTACTGTTTTAGTTTTTTATTTTTTTGTGATAATTGGTAAAAAAAATAATGGTTTGATCTGCAAAACAATATGTAAGGCTGCTGTCTTGTCTTCCCTCCATTCCATTTTTTGAGCTGTTTTATCTTTTGCAGGAGTAGATGGAGAATGGAGGACTAACTTTTCAGAGAGAGAAACATGGACTGTTAAGAAAAGCAAGACAGGTAAACAACTCTGCCAGTCCCTTAGCCCTAAGAGCTTTGGACCACATCAAAAGAGCTGCTTCTCTTCTTTTGTTGCTCTCTCCTTTTCCATTTTTCTTTTAAATGTCTAGTTCCTTTCAATGCCTTAGCTCACTATCTCTTTCTTTCTCTTCGCATCTAATTTTCATTGTGGGTCCTCAGAGAGATTCTGTAAGAAGAACCCTGATCGGGCTTGGCAAGCAAAATTTGATTTTGATGAATCTCAAGTAACTGATACTCAGGATTACAGGTTTTTTCCCTTGTTCTTCCCTATCAGAATAATAAAAATCACATCTTTTTTGTTGTTCTCAAGTGCTATCAAACTTACTTTCACTCATTGCCATCAATTTTTTGTTGGTTTAATATTTGATTAGATTGTTCGTCGCAACATGGAATGTTGGTGGAAAATCCCCACCAAGTCATCTGAATCTTGAGGATTGGTTGCATGCTTCTCCTCCAGCTGATATTTACATCTTGGGGTAAACTGAATTCATATCTCTAATTGATCTTTTAATAGAAAGAACATGTATATAACATAAATTTCTTGCTCAAAGGTTTCAAGAAATTGTTCCACTGAATGCTGGGAATGTACTGGGCACCGAAGACAATGGCCCGGCGAGGAAATGGGTTTCTCTTATAAGGAAAACATTGAACAATCTTCCCGGGGCTAGCGGATATGGGAGTTACCATACACCTTCACCAGTCCCCAACCCAATTGCTGAGCTTGATGCTGATTTTGAGGGCTCTTCAGCAAGGCAGAAGAATTCATACTTCTTTCACCGCCATTCTTTCCAGTCCCTCAGCCGGAGCTTACGGATCGATAGTGATATCATGGTGCCACAGCCAGGCCTGGATCGTCGGTTCAGCGTTTGTGACCGGGTCATTTTCGGTGGCAGGCCGAGTGACTTCGACCCCAACTACAAATGGGGTTGTTCTTCAGATGATGAAAATGTTGGAGTAGAATCACCTACTACTGTCTTTTTCTCGCCATTCTCCTATGGCTATGGAGTTCCTACAAGTATGGAAGATAGAGAGAGATGTGCAGGGAGATCTAGGTACTGCTTTGAGCCTTCCTTGTCTTAGTTTCTTGATTAACCTCGCATGCTTCTTATTCTTGCTGAGCTAGTCCTGATTATTCTTTGATCAATACAGGTACTGTCTGGTCGCAAGCAAGCAAATGGTTGGGATATTCCTCACTGTTTGGGTTAGGAGTGAAATAAGAGATGATGTAAAAAATTTGAAGGTGTCTTGTGTTGGTAGAGGTCTGATGGGCTATCTCGGGAATAAGGTTATTATGACTATTTTTCCTGATATTAATTCATACAAACTTATAGGCTATCTCTAAGTCATATTTTGGTTCTTACAGGGTTCAATTTCAATAAGCATGTCTTTGCACCAAACAACCTTCTGCTTCATTTGTAGTCATTTAACCTCTGGGCAGAAAGAAGGCGATGAACTTCGGCGGAATTCTGATGTAATGGAGATTCTAAGAAAGACAAGATTTCCCCAAGTTAATGGTCAGGGCAATGAGAAATCACCTGAAACAATCTTAGATCATGAGTAAGTTCATTCCATAATTATTTGTTAGTTTCAACTAGTAAGTTATTAAATAAAAAACTGAGGTGTTTTTGGCTTTTCGTCTTGTTTCAGTCGAATAATATGGCTTGGAGATTTGAATTATAGAATTGCTCTTTCCTATCGGTCAACCAAGGCTCTAGTTGAAATGCACAACTGGAAAGTGTTGCTTGAAAAAGATCAGGTGATTTTGGAATCCTTGTTTGTGTGGTTTGCTTGACTTCACTTTTATTGCAACTGTTAAACAAGGTTTCTTGTGATTTAGAGAAAGTTATGATTCTTATATTCTTTTCTTAATGCTTGTATTAGCTTGACCCTTACATTTACTACTTTTTTAAAACAGCTTAGAATCGAGCAAAGGTGCGGGCGAGTCTTTGCAGGGTGGAATGAAGGAAGAATATACTTCCCCCCAACGTATAAGTACTCGACTAACTCAGATCGTTATGCTGGCGACGACTTGCACCCGAAAGAGAAACGACGAACGCCGGCTTGGTAACTAGAATAAGCTCAATAATATCATTCCTTATCATTTCCCTTGATTTTTAAAGACAATGAAAAATTTTCCTTTTGTTCGAAAGGTGTGACCGAATTTTATGGCATGGAAGAGGTCTTCATCAGTTGGCTTATGTTCGTGGAGAGTCGAGATTTTCTGATCACCGACCGGTTTATAGTATCTTTGATGCTAAGGTTGAATTGAATCATAATCGTTTCTCTAGGAATACGAACTATGCAAGCTCTCGAGTAGCGGTGGAGGAACTTTTACCTTACTCACATGGTTACGCTGAATACAATTTCTACTGATTTTGGATAAGTAGATTTCTTGGTAAAAAGAATGTACAGATTACTTGTTGAGATCTCAACAACCTGTGAGAGCTGGAAACTAAGAATCAAGGTTCTCATGGTAACCTATGTTTCTCTAGGCTTTCAGGACTCTGCAGTATTGATCAGAGAAAAATCCAATAGCCAGAGGTAATCAATCATCTAATGCATCATAATTTTTCTTTTTCATGTCTTTGTATGATTATTGATTATCAAAGAAAAATTCTTCATCACTTGAACTGATTCAGATCATGCTATTTTATAGATAGAAAAAGAAGAACTGAGTTCTCAACAACTGATTCAAGGCAATTACTTCTTCTCCCCTCATCTCCCTTTGAATATTCTCCTACATCTTCTTCTTTTGCGAATTTAATCCTAATTATTCCTCTCCTTGGCTCTTACAGGACATAATTTTACCAGAAACTCTGCAAATTTTGTGAAGATGGACCTCATATGAACCAATAAAATCACTTACCATACTCATTATATCATGAAAAGAGTTCTGAGAAACTTGTAACTGAGAAACTTGCAACTGGGATTGACAAATTGGCTGAAGAGGATGATCATTTCAGCTTCCTTCATCATAAAATCAGCAAAAAGAACTCTTTTTTCTGAGAAGTGCAAGCTCATTAGTTATGATTGCTAACATATTCTTTCTTAGCAAATAGTAGGTAGGGATTTTGATTTTATTTTTATTTTTTGGAAGCATGGGGCAGTAGAATGATAGCAAACAAATAAACAAGTGTACAAATTTCTTTTTTGAGTTTTTATAATTTGGAAAGGATGAGTGATGAGCTGCTGCATACATACTTACAGCATCAGAGACAGGGAATGTAAGCAATTTTATATGGTTTTATTCATCTGTAAAAGGTCTTTCTATTGATTACATCTCTGAAAAAAGCTTTGGTTTTCAGCTTGAACTGCTGCTGCTTTAATGTGTAGAGTGCATAGAAAGCTACAGGCATGACTGTTGGTCTGTGAATCTAACCAGAATTGTTAAGCTTCTTGGGAACCCAAAAAAAAAAGGGAAATACTGTAATTATATTCTTTTGGTAACTAAATTCTTCTTAGCTATGAGTGGTGGGGTGATTCGTTATGCAAATACTGTACATTACAATACAGATTAATGTATAGATTTTTAAAATAGATTTTTCTTTAATTTTTATTCTTAACTAGAATAAAATTATAGTTTATATTTAAAAATGGTAAGCCATGTATATCTTATTTATGTAATTTTTGTTTAATTTGCATATCATATTTATATTATAAAATAAATTTAAATTTATTGGTATATCTTTGTTATGCAAACTAATATTCTATACATTACAATACATATCAACAATATAGTAATACATATATAAAATTCATCTAAGCTTGACATATGAGGAGAGAGAGAGAGAGATAGAGAGAGAGAGGAAGAGATAGAGAGAGAGAGAGAGAGAGAGAGAGAGGAAGAGAGAAAAAGATAGAGAGGGAGAGAAAAGAAAGGGAGAGAAAGAGATAGAGAGAGAAAGGGTGGGAGTGTGGAGGATAAGAATGAGAAAAGAAATATGGTGATTTGACTAAGGGGCTTAAGAGTTTGGTGATCAAAATATCTGCATTTCAACCATGAAGAGTTCTTAAATTCAGAACTGCTTCACTCATCTTTTCTATTTTTCTTCTTATTTAAAAGAAAAAAAGACTAAGAAAGTAAGAAGTCCATATGAAGACTTATGCAATTCAATGTAGATTCTCAATCCAAATGAGAAAAGTTTAAAAACTGGAAAATTTATTGCCACTATGATACTGACCCAAACCTAATAAATTGATATTCTACAACAACAAAGGAAAAGAGGAATCATAATTACAATTTACAAAAAAAAAATTCTTTCATAAATGTTGTTTAGGGTTTGTTCGATTGAAAATATTTTTGCAATGATGCAATTTAAAATTCAAATAAAATTTAAATTATACAAATATTTTCACAATTCGTAAAAAATAATAATTAAATTACATATTCATGAAAGAAGAAACCAACTTTGACCGCAGTCTGCTGATTGAAGAAGTCCCCGTGCCTAACCAAGAACCGGAAATCCAGTGGCGGCGCCGTTCGGAGATCCGAGTACTAGAAGAAGAAGAAAATATGGAAGGGGGAGACAACATTGAAGAAGAGAAATTCCTTGAAAAGGATGAAAATATACAAGAATACCTCGAAGGGGAAGAAAACATTGAGACATTAAAATAACCACTTTTTAAATTACATATACAACCAATACAAGCAACAAAATGAATCATTATAGTACTCAAACAATTGAGAAACATTGTGCACATATTTGAAGATTAATATTATACATTTTTCATGTTACAAAAATCACAAAGCAACTCTATGACTTTCGTACTCATTCTTATCAAAACATGCATTAAGGATCTTCATTACTTTCACGTTGGTGATAGTTAAGTTAGATCTAGTCAATTTAGACTTCGGTTGAGACGGCTTTCATATTGCTTCTGAAAGTGACTTTTTAATACAAAGGCTTCGTTTGGGACAGCTTTCTTACTACTTTTTAAAGCAGCTTCCTAGTACAAAAATTAAAAACTAGGAAGCTGCTTTAAGAAGCAATAAAAAAGCCGTCCCAAACGAAGCCAAAATTTAAATTTTGTTCTAGAAAGCCGCTTTCTTCTACTTCTTAAAGTCATTTTTTAATACCAAAAATTTAATTTTTTGCACTAGAAAGTTGCTTTAAGAAGCAGTAAGAAAGCCTTCCCAAATAAAATCTTAGGCTACGTTTAGGACAATTTTATTGCTTTTTTATAAAACAATTTTCTACTACCAAAATTTTTTATTTAAAAATTTGGTACTAAAAAGCTATTTTAAAAAACAGTAAAAAGACTGTTCAAAACAAAGCCTTAAACACAAAATTATAGAATTAGATTTTGACTTGTGCTGAATTAGGGTTGAGTGGAAAAATGATTAATTATGCATATGTACATAATTGCCTTTTGCATTAATCCAAAATCCTCTTAGCTATATTGGATAGAGATTACTGTTAATTAATGATTTCAGCTACACTGAATGATCTCTGTGTTATGAATTTAAAATCAGACAAATCAATTCTTTTCAGATATAAAAGTTTAAACTGTTTATTCGAACTTAGGTCATCTCCAACCGAACGCCAAACGAGCGTATGATGTCGTTCGGTCGCTCCAACCGAACGCAAAATTTTCCGCCATCTACTTGCAGGTGAACAGTGCGACGCCAATATTGGCGTCGCACTGTTCACCCACGCCATTTTCGGCTCTCAATCGGAAAAACGCGCGAAAGGAGAACGATCGTTACCTTCCCAGAAACACCTAAAATGGCGTTCGGTTGGAACAACTGCACAGCATTTTGGAGTTTTGCGTTATTTTGCCGTGAAAAGTAGAGTTCTCGGTTGGAGATGCCCTTAAGCTCTACTCTATTCAATATTGGAGCATTTGAAAATTATAAAATAAAATAAAATCATCCCAACATGATAATCTAAAAAAAAAAAAAACAGTTGCATAATGTAATAATAAATAGATTAAAAAATAAATAGAGGAAAACAGGGGGCAAAAGAATACTATGGATCAACTATTCCTTTTCCACGTGGAGGATTCTCTGCACTATAAAAAAAGCCTACAAATTATATGAGAATTTATAAGAAATTTTTTGATGAATTTGTTATTTTAAATTGATGTTTCATTTGTGATAATATTTTTATTTCTTTTTAAAGCAACTTTTTTATACATAATTTTTTAGGTTTAAAAATTTTTATACAAAAAATTTGCTTAAAAAAACAGTAAAAAAGTTGTCTCAAATGAAACTTTTTTTTAAATATTTTATTCCAACAGCAAAACGAGTACAACCAGCTAGGAAAACGATACGAAAAAAGTTACAAAGGATAAAAGGGTTAACAACTGGTCGGGCTTAGTAGTTGGCAGAGGCTTCAAACTTCCCTCGAAGTCAGGCACGGGCCATCCAGTATGGTAAAAAACTTAAGTATATGATAACCTAGGTTTATGGAATTTGAAAATATGGGGAAGAGGTTAAGAATTAAATAATAAAAATAAAAATATATAAAAAATGGATTATAAATTTTTTTGGGTAAACTTAAAGTGTTTTGATCATTTTTATTTTATCAGATTCAAATTTTGGCAGAAGATGGAATAAAAATTGGGTTGACTTTAATATATTTTTGTGTCAAACGTTTGACTTTAGTTCCACCGATTTATCGGATTTAACAGTACTATTTTAGTGTAAAAAATCAATATAATTAATTTTTTTTAATTATTTATTCAATTTGGTCTCCAAGAATTGATTCATAATGTGTCAACATGGTATTAAAAAGTCAACTAATTACAATGTTAGGTTGAGTTTGCTTTTATCTCTGTTCACACTGAGATTTTTTTAATTGAAATCAAGCCCTATTAACACCTAATGACACCCTAATTTGACTCTACTCTATGGAGAAGGACATTAGTATTTAATGTTTGACTTTTATTATTTATATATTATAATACTCGTTCAATAGAAGTTAACAAACTTGCGAAATAAAGTGGTGACTCAAATCTTATTAAATGATGAGGAGGCGACAAAGTCACGATGAAATCGAGCTGGAAAGGACATTGATGGGATCACCAGAGTGTAAAAGAAGAAGAATGTGATAGAGATGGAGAATTAAGGGCGAAGGGCATCCTACAATCTCTCCTCTTTCATTTTCATTCGGGCGAATACTAAGGGGTTGTTTGGTATTAGATTGGATTTAACTTTAATGGGATTTAGTAAATCCTTTAAATCCAAATTTAGTAAATTCTGATGGTGTTAAATCCTAAAAAATGTTTGCAAATATTAAATCTTGATAAATCCCGAGAAAATATTTGACAACGTGATATAAGATTTAAGGCAGTAGGTTCATTTAGAAATTAAATTTAATGTGTTTTGAATTTAATTTGTATGTTCACTATATGGGACAATTTGATAATTAGATAATTAACACCTAAATAATTAATTTGATAATTTATAATAATTAAGGTAACTTCTAATTATGTTACTAATTATTTAATTATATTCTTAAATTCTAATTAATTTATTAATTATGTTTTGAAATTATAAATTATTTAATTGATACTCATATGAATGATTTAATTAAATATTTAAATATTAAACTAATTTAATGACACATATATTACTAATTATTTAATTATACTAATGATTATTTAAGTAATCTAATTAATTATTAATGTTTGAATTATATTGATAATATTAATTTAGATTAATTTATACTCGTCTAGGGTTTGCTTTTCCTTGCCTTTCATCGTCGTCATTTCTTCGTGGCCGCTTTGGCTTTCTATGTTGTGCGTGCAAGAGCTCACTCGCTACTTCGCCTCCTTCAAAGACGTAGGATCGGCAGTCACCATGGGAGCTTGCTCGTTACTTAAATAACCGCCTCCTCCTTCCTTCAAGATGGGAATTAGCTTTGCTCGCAAGCTCGTAAATTCCGTCGTAAATTTTAAATATGGGATTTAGGCGGGATTGGGATTTAACCATTTCAATAAGTATTTTATTTTTTATGACACAAATATTGAAAATATATTAGAAGTAGGTAACGGAAACGATTGTTGCCGCTAGGGTTTGCGATTCCGAGATTTCTCCACCCGCTCGTTTGCGTTCTCCGCCGTCGCCATCGGCCGGGGGTTTTTTCCCCCATGGCTGATCAGGGGTTCCCCTCGCTTCCCACACTTCCCTCCTCTACCATTTCCTCCCCCTCAAGACCGTCTGTTCTTCCCCTATGGAAGAATCTACTCACCACCACCCCACAAATCTCCACTGATTTTTCCCACTCCCTCTCCTATACTCCCACCCAAAACTTTACCGCCAATTTCACTGCTGACCAGTATGTGGCTGGCGCCCCGGAATGGTCTTTATCGCTGGTTGGTTACTCCATTGGGAAGAGGCCTTTTTACGAAGCGCTTCTCTCGACGATCAAAAAGGCATGGCAACTTAAAGGTGAGCTTTCCCTGCTCACCATGGATGATGGTTTCTTTCTACTCAAATTCACAGCCCTAGAAGATTACGAGCATGCATGGACTGGAGGGCCCTGGTTCTTTTTCGGTAAGCCCTTCATACTTCAAAAATGGAGCCCAGATTTCACTCCAAAGCGTGAGGAATTCCCGTCAATACCTTTATGGATCAAAATCATGAATCTTCCGCTTTCTTTATGGACGCCTGAAGGTATCTCTAAACTTGCTAGTTGCGTTGGTATTCCGATTGCTGTCGATGCTTTAACTGCGGCGAAAACTCGCCTGACTTTTGCGAGAGTTTGTGTACAAGTCACTAGCAATTCTCCTTTACCAGAAGAAATTTTCTTTTCTGTTGATGGAAAAATTTCTCCTCTTCGTGTGCATTACGACTGGAAGCCCGAACACTGTTCACAATGTGGTTCGATCATGCATCCCCCAACGCTTTGCCCAAAAGACCCCATTACCAAGCCCATTAGTAACAATAATACTAGAGGAAGAAGCTCAAGCAGAAAACCCCGTCCATCCCCACCTCCCAGGCTTACTATTCCTAAACCCCCACTTCAAACCAAACCTTCTCCCAACAATGATGTTTCCACTCAACCACCAAATACCCAACCTCCCACGAAAATCACCACAGCCCCCCCCACAAAAATCAACACACCTCTATCTATTCCTAATCTGAATTCCCCTTCGGGTGAACTACAGGATTCCACAGACATGTTTCTAAAAACAACAGCTTCTAAGCCCATCATTACATCCAATAAATTTCAGACGTTGGGGGATGTTGACCCGACTGATGTGTTGCAGCCGCAAAACACATCTCTGATTTCTTCTCCTACATGCAAAAACCAAATGCCAACAACTTCAGCCAAAGCTCCTACCACTCAAAACCAAAACAGCCAACCTCAAACCTCTCCCCGTTTCCATCAGCCAAACATTCCCCCAATTGCAACTGAGACTTCAGGCTCTTCCTCTAGTAGCTCAACAGTTCATCTTGATACAAACCAAAACCAAAAACAACCTCGAGGCAAAGCTAAAAAAGCCTCTACCCCCAACAAAAAATCATAATGCCCCTCCCAAACTTAGCAGCGTGGAATATTCGAGGGTTTAACAACCCAGCCAAAGTTGCTTGCTGCAAACATTTAGTCCGTTCCCAAAATCTAGACCTCATTTTCATTCTTGAAGCAAAAATTTCCCACTCCAACCTCTCAAATGATTGGTTCCTTGCCAACCACCAAATTTTTCAGCATGAAGGTAATTGTGACAATTTTTTGCATAGTGATCCTGGTCGTATATGGGTCAAATGGAATAAAGATGCTCTTATTTTCACCCCACTACACAAGACGAATCAATTTATCCATGGTTCTATTACTACTGCTACTAATCTCACTTATGCTATTACTGCTGTGTATGCTAGCAATTCTCAGTCTGAAAGACAAATGCTATGGAATGACATTCAATCTTTAGCTCAGAATATCAATACTCCCTGGGCCATTATGGGAGACTTTAATACTTGTCGTGAGCTTGGTGACAAAGCTGGTGGCACAGCTCTTTCTGCTACTCGTCTTGGTGATTTTAACAGCCTTGTTTTCAATATCGGGATGCATGAACTTTCATCTGTTGGTCATTTTTACACATGGTTTAATCAACAACACCACAATCCCATACATATCAAGCTAGACCGTGTCCTTACCAATGAGCAGTGGCTGTTAAGTTTTCCCAACTCCTTCTATAAAGTCCTTGATCCGGATTGCTCTGATCACTCTCCACTCATTTTGGTTAATGAAACGGAAGTCAAATGTGGGCATAGATTCCTTTTCAAAAACTACTGTGTCAAACTCCCTGAGTTTTGGGACTGTTTGCTGGAGGCTTTTTCTCTACCTAACACTAGTAGTCCCTTAAGCTCTTTCAATTTCAAGTTGAAATCGCTTAAAAATTCTATGAAGCACAAACATTGGTCTAATTCCAATACTCTTCAAATGCAAATTGAGGCTCTTAATTCCAGTCAGAGAGAGGTTATCAGCCAAATTCAAAGAGATCCTCTAGATCCTCAACTCAATAGTAATCTCAATCTCATCAACAGCAAACTAGCCTATTATCATTCTGCACTTACTAGTTGGATCTCTCAACGTGCAAAGGTCAAATGGCTCACTCATGGTGAAGATGATTTGAAGTTCCTTTATTCAAAAATTAACATCACCAAAAACTATAATAGAATAAAGGAGATCACCAATGATCAAGGCACTTTTAACTCTAGAGAGGATTTGGCTAAAGTCTTCATTAATCACTACAAAACTCTCTTCAACACTCCTGTTCCTTCGGTTTCCAATCATTCTGCTGTGAATATTCCTGCGGGTAGAGTCATTCCACAGCATCTTACCTCTGAGCTTATTGCACCTGTTACTTATGAGGAAATTAAAAGCATTGTTTTTACTGGAAACTCCAATACTGCACCGGGTCCGGATGGATTCACTTTTGATTTCTACAAATCAACCTGGAATGTTATTCAACGCCAACTCTGTAATGCTGTGTATTCCTTCTTTGCCACGGGTTTCATGCCAAATCAGACGAAAGCTACAGCTATTGCACTTATTCCTAAAAAGCCTCATGCGAGCAATGTTAAAGATTATAGGCCAATTGCTCTCTGTAACGTCATTTATAAAATCATAGCTAAAATCATTGCCAACAGAATGAAAAAGGTGATGCCTCTCATTATCCACCCGAGCCAAGGAGGATTCATTCACAAAAGAATCATTTCTGACAATATACTATTGGCTGCTGACATCCTTGGTTGTTTCAATCTTAAATCTCACCAAAAACTCCTTTGTGCCAAATTTGACATCACTAAGGCTTTTGACATGGTTTCTAGAGACTACCTTTATGAAAGACTTGAAATTAAGGGTTTTCCCAGCATTTTTATCTCTTGGATAAAGGCTTGCACTTCGAATGTTTACTTTTCTATTTGTATTAATGGGACTTTAGAGGGATACTTTAATTCGAGCTCTGGTATTAGACAAGGCTGTCCACTCTCACCTTACCTGTTTAGTATCATCATGGATGGTCTTTCATCCAAATTTGAGCAAGCCACTATCGATAAATCCTTTCATGGCATCTCGTCTGGGAACTGTGAGATATCTCATTTAATGTTTGCTGATGATCTTTTAGTATTTGGCGCTGCTACTATGGATAATGCTCACACCATTAAGGGAATTCTTAGCGATTTTGCGGCTGTTTCTGGGCTGGCGGTGAATCCTGACAAGAGCTCCATTCTTATATCCAAAAACACAAACGCAGCCAATGATATTTGCAATATTCTGAATATCCAGCAATCTTTTGCGCCTATCAAATACCTGGGGCTTCCGATCTTTTATAAAAAACTTAAGATCAGAGATTTCCAACCTCTGCTTGATAAAATTACCAATCTTTTACAAGGTTGGAAAGCAAAAACTCTTTCTTTGGCTGGGAGAATTCAATATATCAAATTCACTATATCTAATACTTTGGCGTACTGGATTCGTGGATCAATTATCCCTAAGAGCTGTTGCAAGATTATTAATAGTATGTGCTCTCGTTTTACCTTTTTTGGCAACATCAAAGATAGAAAATTGGCTACTGTCTCTTGGAAAAGCTCCTGTTGTCCCAAAATTAATGGGGGTTTGGGCATCTATTCAATTGAATCTCTTTATCATAACTACTCCTGCTCTCTCATATGGAGATATTTAAATGCAAACTCACTTCTTTTTGCTTGGTGGAGAGGTAGATACATCTCTTTGTGGAATCAACTATCTGTTAAAAAATCCATTTATTGGGATTTCTTGTGTAGAAAGGCCAGTGATATTAAACACTGTATTACTTTATCTGTGGATGCTAGCAGCAAGCTTTCTTTCCTTTGGGACCATTGGTGTGGTGGTTTTTCGGTTGCTGAATACCTTTTTAACCTGAACCTTCATGATATTATTCCTTTCATTTCGGATTGGAATATCTCTCAGGTTATTGTTGGTACTAGCTGGAATATCCCGAATTTTTTTGATAATAGTATTGCTGCTCTTATTAACTCTGTTATTATAAATGAGCATCCTGAAAATCATTACTGGTTGGACAAGCAGAACCCAAACTTTCGTGATTTTAATAATCAGTTTTTTACTTCCATGACTAAGGTATCTTGGCACAAATATATTTGGCATAAAAAATCTGCTCTTCGTTACTCTGTTTATGCTTGGTTGGCCTTCCGTGGGGGCTTAAAAACAGCTGATGTGCTAGCTGTTCGTGGTATTAATGTGCCAAATACTTGTTGTTTCTGTAATATTGAGAAGGAGACTATTTCCCATCTGTTTTTTGAATGTCATTATACCTTCGACATTGCTAAAACTCTCCTCCCCTGGATGCAAAATCTGTTCATGAGGCCTAATATTCATCAACTCTATGATTTAATTTGGGAAAATGGCTCCATAGCTACAAACAGAAACTATTATCTCTTAACTGCTGCTTCGATGGTTTATTTTATATGGAGAGCAAGGAATGACCGGTTATTTGGTGGCATCATCGATTGCAAAGCCACAACGATTGCAAAAATCAGGAGAGCAATTTCAATTAAAACTCATGGATGGAATTTTTGACTGGGTTCTGTATTGCTGCGCTGTTGATTCCTTGGCCCATCTCTGTCAGCCGAATCTGGAGCTTTATCAATTTTGTGGATTGATGCGGGAAATTCGACAATCATATCAGAAGTTTTTGGGGACCCTTTTTGACAGGACGATGATGATTGCTGATTATGTTCAGCTGCCCCTTGGACGGCCCTCCGGGCAACCAGGGGCTATGCTCTATCACTGCCCCTCGTTTTTTTTGACCCTTCCGAGTTTTTAGAGCTTTTATCTGAGTCCTTTTTAGCTTTCAGCTTATAGTTTTGCTTTACATTTCAATCACTGTATTTTCCTTTATTTAGAATCCATAATCTCTTTTTGTCCTGAGATTTTGGATTATAGTTTTTGGTTCTTTACTTTCTTGTAATACTTTTTCTCAGCAATGAATGGGCAAATGCCCCAAAAATTCCCCCAAAAAAAAAAAAATTCATATATATAGATGAGCATAAATAAATAAATATATCAAAATGAAATAAAATGCAGCTCACATATCATATCATGGGCATAAATGAAAAAACCATAACAAGTATTGCGTGATTGTGTCAGCTGGTGAAACCGATGAACAGCGCAAGACAACGAGGAAGAAAATGAAGCAATAAGGACGAAGATAACTGCTAATTACACTGTCGATGGCTGAACAATGACTGGTCTTCGACGTCGCCACCACGATTGGAGTTTGCGTGCCGGACGATGGATCTCCCAAAAAAACTAGGGGTTGCTTTCGCTCTCTCTCTCTCTCTCTCTTCCTTCCTCTGTTACTTATTTCTCTGTCAATTTTAAGATTCAGAGATGGAATGATGAGATCAGGCACAGACTCTGTTGCTCAATCGCGATCTCTTCCTTGCTTCTTAGGTCAGCTTCAAATCCCGGGCCTCCGATGTTCGGTCCGGAGTTGAGAGGAGGAAGAAGGGTAGTATGGGGATTTCGCGCTGTGCGTTTGATGAGGCTGCGTGCACACGCACGTGCGGCCGATGTATGGAACAACTTTCGAACCGGTTTGGCTATCGTGTTACGGGTCTTAACAGTTCGACCTATCAATTTGATATTGTGGTAATTCTTCCCGTCCTTTTATTTGTTGACCCCTTAAATAATGATCCATATATAATTAAAAAACTATTTAAAAATTATTATATTATGATTACCTATGAAAAAGTGTTAAATTCTTTTGTTCAGAAAGTTGGTTAAATGCCGTTGGAAGCTAATTAAAAATATCTATAAATTTGTTACTTTATTTTTTGAATTCATCGAACTACAAATCTATATATGTATCTAAATTAAAATTTATAAAATAATTCAGGAACATCTGAACTCCAATTTCAACAAATTTATAATAAATTGATCATCTTAATAAGATAAACCCATTAACATTAAAAAGTGAGTTGATCTAACTTCAAATGAGATCAAATCGAACACTTAAAAAATAATTGT